ACGGGATAATAGAAGTGGATGAAACAAAACTCCGGACATGAACCGTCTGCAGCCATTTCGTTTAAGAGTTCAAGGTATCATGTTTCAATAGGACAGACTCTAGCTTATATGCGACCCATCCACAAGTCACTGACCAAGAATTGAATCCACTGATCCACTTTAGGGAAGGGTACCGGATATATAACAGCTGCATTGTGTCCCTTGAATTTCCTTGATGTATCCCACTTATGCCGCTTATATGTGTGGAGCAAGCCGCAGTCAGTAAACGTTGATTCTATGCTTACCTCAGCCAGACAATTTTCATTAGGATTCCCTTTTCTTGAGGTATTGATGTAAACAACTGATATTTGGTTGGTGGCTTGGAACATTTTTTATGTTTCCATATATTGGGAATTTCATCATCCCAACTGACGAACTCATATTTATCAGAGGGGTAGGTACACTATACCACCAACCAGATATTAATTATGATTCTTGAACCATCATTAACCATCATAAAAACAATGGTAGTAACCATTATTAACAGTATATTAACCATATATTAACAGTATATTAACCATTATTAACACCATATTAACCATTATTATGGTATTAACCATTATTAACCATGGTATTAACTATTATTAACCATATATTCACCAAGTCTTCCAGTTAAATTCACAAACTCACAATTCTTGCTGCTTAAATCCCCATCGGTTCTTGTCCTGGCAGGGCGAGGAGGAAGCCGAGGAAGCCGACCAGGGTTACGAGGTCGCGGGCTGCAAGCGATGCTGTGGCGGGCTGCAAGCAGGGACGGAATCAATTTATAGCTTTGTTTGGTACATGTATGGTATACCCTCTGGTAATTTAACATAGCCATGGAAAATCACCATTAAAATAATAGGCATTTTCCATGGCTATGTTAAATAACCAGAGGGTACCCCGTAATGACATTTAAATATATCAAAATGATGCATCCAGAAAAAAATAAGCGACAAACCCTCATGGGCCTGTAGTTTTGTTTCACCTTTCACTCCAATTTGGCAAGCCTGGCAAACTCTTGAGTTGCTAGTGTCTCAAATGTGCAAAGGCTATTGACCAATGTGCTCCATCTTTTTGGATGTGCTGTGCATGTAGAATTCAGCGGTCATTGGGATTTGTTCTTTCCCAGATTCTGTGTCTATGGCTTATTGACTAAGTCACCACCCCAGTCTTTGCAAGAGCAAGAAAACCTTCTCAACACAAAATGGTGAAAGTAAATTCTGTTTCAATCCCAGACCATTTCACTCTAATTCACAAAATTTCCTCACATTCGATCCCATTCCATCCCATTCCATTTCATTCCATCCCGTCCCTATCCATCCATTCATCCACCGCACAACATGCGTTAGTCCACGTCTATATAGATAAACACAGTGCATGCATTATATATATATATTATATCTACTTGGTTACAAACGGTTGCAAACACGTAGTGTTTTCCATTCACAACTGATGGTTCACCTTGGTTTTTCTATATGGTTTTCTCGTTGTTGTTTTTCCAGAAATCAAGCTAGAGGCTGTTCAAAGTGACACTTGTTTTTTCGCCTGGCCGCAGATCAACACTTGAAATAGTCACTGAACAACCAATGCGGTCAACATGCTATTTTGAAGAATGCTATTTAAATTTTAAACATCTTCAACCCATGGTTTCCTCATGTTTTTTTCCCTGTGCTGCAGTGTATTCCATAAGTTTGTCTAGGCAGAGATCCTGATGGACCCAGTCGAGGCGAGTTTTTGAATCTCACATTTGGATCAAGGGATCTGCAGGAAAACCCACAAAATTTGTTGATTAACGCCCAAAATGATTGAAATTTAAAGGGAAACCCTTCGAAATCTTTCGAATCAATGGATTGATTTAAATGGACCCAATCCATACCCTTGTTTCCTGTTGATATTCCCTGAAACCAATCCATTGATTCTAGAGTCAATTGTGTCAATTGTCTGTCGATGCCAATGGGACCCGCCAGCGTGTATTTTCACAGGGCTATCGTATGGCTACAGCCATTAACATCATTAACTGAATCATTGACAATAGCCCAATCGCCCAATCCAAATACTGTGTTTTGACCATGGCACATGGATAAGGGTCAAGTCAAGTCCAAGGCCTTTTTGAACCAGCCTATTTTCAAGGTCCAACTTTGACCCTATGCTGTTCTCACAGCAGTGTCGAAAACATCTTGACAAAGATGGTGGCATATTTTAGGACATATTTGTGACATGTGTTTCTGACAGTTATTCTGACATAGCTTCCGACAATATCTGATCTATACATATATATATAATACATAATATAGTACACATATATGTATGTATATATATGTGATATTATATATATATAATACATATATAATTATATATATGTAGAATTATGTATATCGAATTTTGTAGATACAATCATACATAATACTCTTACACAGATACTTTGGCAGCTTCTTTGACATACAATACATACATTCCGACAGCTATCATGGCATAGATCCGAGCAGTACCATTTTGTGTGGTCGTGTTACAATCCACTGCCACCAGGAATTTTGACAAAGTCATACCAGCGGGATAACTTACTTAGATTCAAGGACTTCTATATGAATCTAATCTGATTCATGGTGGAGCCATATATAATTCAGCACTTGTGTTGGTGAGATCACCATTGCTTCGCTCATTTTTTCATAGGAAAATATCCAGTTTCAACTATACAGTCTATATATGTCTATATAGTGTCAGTCCATTAGCCATTGACACAAGTTGGATTATACGCCCCATTAATCATAGTTATACTTGCCAGAAACAACCATAATCCCAGGAAGAGTCGACTTCCTGGGTGTGCAGTTCCAGCAATTTTTGCGGCTTACATTTCACGATAGTTGTAGCCCCATATCCCAACAACTGTGGCTGTAATCCTATATTGTAGTTTCCAACGTCCCTGCAGGGTGCCTGGTTGTTTTGCTTGTTTTTGAACATTTTGTTTTTTCACTCCACGAGTTATTACACCAACTCAACTCGTGCAAAATCATCAAAAAACAAGCAACGAGTTATAGTTATATACCCTATATATATATATATATATACCTTATATCCTATTTGTAATCCCATGTGATATACCCTTGTATAGTTATAGCCTAGACCCATGTTCTTTATTATCCAAACTGCACCTCCCCAAGTTGTGCTAACCACCAAAACTCGTCCAGGATTCTGCTGAGGCAGCCACCTCGGTGGGCGCGGTGGATGTGGAGATATATCATGAAATAGATATGGTTTAAATGGATATGCCATATGCTGGTTTAAATGATAATATACATATCCAAAAACAGGGTATAATTGTATAATGTGTATATATATATATATCATTGGGACATATCATGAATTTATCTAAGTAGCCATTGACAACCCCGGAACAAAGTAGAAACACATATCTCACTAGTTTAGTTGGACTGTCCTCTTCGATCGACATTTAGATTCACCATTCGGTTCGAACCAGGCGGAATACCTCGATGATGCTCTTCCAGAAGAAGATGCAGGGGCTGAGGCGGCAGTGGATTCCCACGCGGTACAGCACCGGATGAGGGAATGTCCATAGGGTATAAGGGAATATCATAAGGCCGCCTGCATGGCGGTTTCTGAACTGGGGGGACCCTCCCGAAGCTATAGTTTTCCTATCATCCAGGTTTGATTCAGCTAGGAATATTTCAAAATATAAAATGAAGCTCCATGGCCCAGGCAGAAAGTACGTTATTGCTCTCTTGCTGGGGCTTCTTAGCATCCTTATTTACCCCCAGCTGTTTCCGAAGTTGGATGCCTCATCGTGGAGAGTGGGGACGCATGTGGACCATTGGATCCTGAAAATGATTCGTGGATGCTGTGCTTTTGGAATTCTAATCCACCCATTTGGGTATCGCTCAATCTTCGCCAGTGCCTCCTGGATGGTTTGATACTATAATAATATACTATAGAAATCGCCGTGAATTCATTGAGATCATCCTTGGTGTTTTCATTGGGCTCGCCCACTGCTGATTTCAGGTGGCCGGGATGGACGACCAACTGGCCGAAGCTGATGCGGAAGCTGAGGCGGAAGCTGATGCGGAAGCTGAGGCGGAAGCTGAGGCGGAAGCTGAGGCGGAAGCTGATGTGGAAGCTGAGGCGGAAGCTGATGCGGAAGCTGAGGCGGAAGCTGAGGCGCTTGAGGAAGGATACGAGGAAGTGCTCGGCGGAAGCGCACGGGGAAGTTGACTGCCCAAAATTCAGAAGCTACTTGGGAACCGCCATGTTTGGTCAGGAGAACCAGCTGGACACATTGATTTTGAGATTTTTATGATTGTATGAAGTTGTTTTTGATGTTTGATTCATTCTCATGTGAATCAAGGAGGTGATAGGGGAGCACAAGTAGGGGTGGAAAAATTAGGTGGGAGTGGGAGAGGTATGGCAAGGTTTCAAAAATGGTGTGCTAACATGGCCCAAGCCAAATCCAGTTTGACGAATAGGCACTTGTGATTCTTTGACAATTGATTTGAAAGATGAGGTTCATAAGGCTAAAAACCAAAATATGCACCAGTTAGACCAAAATGACCGTTGTGGCGACCATGGGATCTTCACGAGGATAGTGGGACTTCACTTCTCGTACCAATGGGGCGAATGGGGCAATGTGTCCCCAGATTTTGGGCCGCTCAATGCGGAAGTGTTTTTGCAGATTTGGGTCACCCGCTAGACCAAACAAAGACTGTGGTTTATCTCTGAATCAAGTCCTGTTTGAGGTCCATATACTTGAGCATCATTTTATATCCTTTCCAATGTTCTTTTGGGTCATCTGCACATACAGTACCAATCTGTGCTTCATCAGGTTATATTAGGTTCACCCATTTTGGGGCTGGATAAGGATCCCACCAGAGCGGCAATTTGTGAAGGGTGGGTACCCCAATTCTTGTGATGGTTGTTGGTGACCCTTCCTTTTTGCGAGTTCAATCCTATATGTTTCTTTGTTTCGCCCCCATTCTAGAGGTCTTTGCTCCATTTTGATCATGTTTTCTGTGTTTTGGAATCATTTGGAGGTTTTCATCATTTTTTCTCCTGAAAATCTACATGTTTTGGAATGATTTGGATGTTTCTCGGTCAAACAACACTTTTTCTGGGTTTTCAAACCATCCAATTTCTATGCCGGGCGCTGGCTTCCGGCTCAGCTGTGGAGGGATAGGGCACCCAGTTGGGCCGCGACGAAGGGCGCAGCTGAGGAAAAAAATTGCAAGAGACTTGGCAGATCTTGGCATCAGATTCATAGCTGAGAATTCATCAACTAAGCATAATAATTTTTATCAAACTATATCATGATCATTAGTAATTTTCATGATAAGTCATGATCATTCTCGATAATTCATGATAACCGATAACCCATCATAATTCATGATAACCCTTGAGAACCCATGATAACCCATGATAATTCATGCTATGTCATGATAATTCATGATAATTTGCAGACGTGGCATCAGATTTACCCAGACACATGTAGCAGTTAATAATCATAGTATGTAGCGAATTATAATTTGTAATAGTTTAATTGTTTATGATTAATAGCAGACTTGGCCGGCTTGGCATAGTTATAAGAACATGTTGTATAATTAAATCTCATAATTATTTTTACGTGTTGATTATTGATTAACTATTTATATTAATGTGTCATTAATGTTTGTTGTTTTGTGTGTTAATGTTAATTAATAATTAATGATAGTTAATATACTGATGATTAATGATGATGGAATATGAATGGAATATTTGTGGGGATACACTCATGTGATATGATGTTAAATGGGATATTCAACGGTACTCTAACTAAATTATAACCTTTTCACCAAAAGACTCCACACTCCACCAGATCGGGTGGGGCCTCTGACATGCGGAAAAGGGTATTAATATTATTTACACTCCTGTAAACTAACATAGCTATAGAAAATCACCGTTTTGAAAAGGTAAATCAATGATAAATTGGGTATTTTCAATAGCTATGTTAAATTACCAGATGGTAAATTGTAACCACCTCGCGTCCCTGAAATCCAGTGGTTTAACCGCATGTTTGCCTTGAAATTGCAGTTTGTTGGGCTAGTGTTCAGAGACACCCAAATAGGGTGACAGATTTGCAACGGCGATATGATTGGGATATAGCAAGCATCAGGATCATCAAGAGACTTATGAAGCAAGAACAAGTTATATAATACTTGGTTCAGCCAACGGAAATCAGAACAATGAGGATGTGTCACAAACAAAAAAGGGAATGCCTACCAACATGTACCAACAATGATTATACTTTCAGCAAGAAAAGGGCATTGAATGGCATTCCCAACAGTGTTCAGGAAATGGAGAGGGACTTTAAAAATAATCGTTTCCTCAAACCAGGTTGACTCTCCACCTGGACAACTGGGATGAACCAACAAGTAGCGGCGTAGCACATGCAGATAGCGATGTTACTCTCCATTGATTGGAGATGGAACATCAAATTGTATCAAATTGCCAGTTGAGTTTTTTTTGGAATTCAGTATATCCCAACTATTCCGTGGATATAGTATATGATTGTATATGATATACCATCATTAATTCTCATTTACGACTCTACGTATACGAACAACGTACTGGATCGTATCGGTGTCCATGACAACTTCACCAGGAATGGCATCCTCCAACAAGACAGCAGCCCGGCATCGGTCCTGCGAGAATATCGTTGTTTGAAGTTCAAGGACAACCCATGGCAACCCCAAGAAACATATTTTTTTCTCGGGATGTACTGTATTTGTGTTTACTGTAGATCTTTTGTTTGGAGTCTTGGAACTTCATAAGATGTCGTTGTCTGAAGACTCCAAGCAGATTCAACCACCAGGACTTCCAGTCTTCATCAGCAGATTGTGTTGCTTAATAGAATCTGAAGAAACCGTCGCTTCAACGTGACACAACCGGACCCAAGGTAAATCAACCGCACTCTTAGATTAACCTCCTTCAACCATTCATTTGTGTACAAAAACACTGATTTTTCTGATGTTTGATATATTTCACATTTGCATATCCAATGGTCTGGCGCCGCATTTTCATGGAATTTGTGGTACAATTGGCGCGCTGTCAGCGCTCACAATTTCGACATATTTCGACCCATGTCCGGTCAACGTACTGCATCCATTTGAACCCTGTTTCAATGGAATGTCGTTACTTTTTCCATGAAAATCCATGAATTGGAGTGATATCTACATTTTTGGGCAAAGCCTCATTTTGCCGGTCATATCATAACACTTATACAAATATATATATATACATGTATTTATTTTTACCAATGTATACATATATGTATGTATCTATTTATATGTATATACTGTCTATGTACTTTATACTATATATTGTATATAATATCGTGTATATACATATTATATATATATATATACATATTATATGTAAATATTATATTATATACATGTTATAAGCATATATAATATTAAATATATATATATATATATACATATTACTATTCTATGTATATATATATATATATTGTAGTATTGCAATTTTTTGGCACATATATTATATTACAGTATATGTTTTTTAATTTACAGTATTATATCATAATATATATATTATCATATCATATATATATTCTATTATATATACATATATATATATATGATTATTTATAGATTCTTTTATATTTATTATTTTACATAAATAAATAAATATATATATATATATCCCATTGTACACCACTGTTCCCCGAGGCTCAGATTGCCCTCTCTGCAGTGGGCTTGGCAGCCTTGAGCAGCACCGCCTTCGTTGCCCCGAGCGCTGGTTCCAGCCGTAGCACTACGTTGCGTGGCGCGCGGGCTACGAAGTCAGTGGGAAGCTCTAGTCAGGTGCGGCCGACTCGTGAATGGGTTGAACCATATATGGGGTTTCCTACAGGATGGTGCGCCCATCAACCATAGTTATATCTACCATAAAGCATAGAATTCAGCCACTTATATCTCAACTGAACGCTATCTGAAGGGGGGCCCATCTTGTAAGTCATGGGGGTGCCCCAAATCATCCAAATCATAGACCATGATTAGTACTGAAGGCCATGGTTACCATATTTTCGGAAACCTCCATATAATCATGTAAACCGATATTAATAAACCTAGCATTTGGGGATGAAACATAGCACCCATAAGAATGGTGATTTTTGGCTATTTTGGGGATTTATGATATTCGGTTTACCACATGATGTCTATATGGAGATGGATCCAGGCCGTTTTTTTTGGGTTGAACCGAAGGGTACCACCATAGCTGTGATTTCATGTGAGTTGCCTTCCCTCCAACAGTTGACCCTCGTTGGGGGTTGGAAGACTAAGACTTCCTCTTGGGATTGGTGGTTTTGAGGGTCTATCTTAGTTGGGAGAATTGTAATTGTATGAAATTGTTTGGTGTACTTGGGAACTTGGAAAGTGACATTATTCTATACATTTCTATACCAATTTGGGCTGGATGGAACTTGACTGGGTTCAACATCGAAAGATAGAGGAGTTAGGTTCCGCATCAGCCAGTGGCAGTGATTCCCCACCTGCCAGGTGAGGGTTGTTAGATTTTATCAGAGCTGTTCTCCTCCTCCTCCGCCTCCGCATCCTCCTCCTCCTCGTCCTCCTCCTCCTCCTCGCAGTCCAGATCCCAGTGGGCACAGCAGGACCTCCACCGCGAGCGCCAGATCCCAGTGGGCACTGCCGGACCTCCACCGCGAGCTCCAGATCCCAGTGGGCACTGCCGGACCTCAACCGCGACTTCCAGGTTGCAGTGGGCACTGCCGGACCTCAACCGCGACTTCCAGGTCGCAGTGGGCACTGCCGGGCCTCAACCGCGACTTCCAGATCGCAGTGGGCACTGCCGGACCTCAACCGCGACTTCCAGATCCCAGTGGGCACTGCCGGACCTCAACGGCCAGATAGAATGTCAGAAGATATGCCAGATAGAATGCCAGAAGATATGTCAGATAGAATGCCAGAAGATATGCCAGATAGAATGCCAGAAGATTTGCCAGATAGAATGCCAGAAGATATGCCAGAAGATATGCCAGATAGAATGCCAGATAGAATGCCAGAAGATATGCCAGAAGATATGCCAGAACATATGCCAGAAGATATGCCAGAAGATATGCCAGATAGAATGCCAGAACATATGCCAGAAGATATGCCAGATAGAGTGCCAGATAGAATGCCAGAAGATATGTCAGATAGAATGTCAGAAGATTTGCCAGATAGAATGCCAGAAGATATGCCCGAAGATATGCCAGAACATATGCCAGAAGATATGCCAGATAGAATGCCAGATAGAATGCCAGAAGATATGTCAGATAGAATGCCAGAAGATTTGCCAGATAGAATGCCAGAAGATATGCCCGAAGATATGCCAGAACATATGCCAGAAGATATGCCAGATAGAATGCCAGAAGATATGTCAGATAGAATGCCAGAAGATTTGCCAGTAAGAAAATGTATAAATGCCATAGTGGGGATCATTCGAAGTGAAGTAATTTACAGTTTTTTCAAGGCTCGACCTTGGACCAAGACGACTGCCATGTCATGTAAAACCTCCAATCGGGTGGTTTGAGGTACTAACCAAGCTACTAAGCTAATGCGTTATTTGGATTTATACCATGGATGGTTTATAAATTATTATAGCTTCATTACTTGCCATTTGAGGTACTAATGTAATGAATTACTCCAATGGTATAAACCATGACTGTGCTGCTAAGCCAAGAATCAACCAGCAGCTACTTTGATGTCGGCACTTCATCCCTTGAGATGACACTTCCACATGGACATGTCGCAGGCCCCAAGGTTTTGGTTGGTTTATACCTAGTCTACTTGTCAGATTTATGGCGGATATATATATATATATATATATATGCATCGGTCCCAGTACGTAATCCTTTTGACATGGGGCCCTCTGAAGGTGTCTCCTTGGTACAACGCTCACAGATATCAATGGTGCTCAAGAAGGTAGGCTACACACACAACAAGGTAGCCATACTCACAACTCAAAATGCAAGTCAGTTGCATCTTCGCGGCTATCCATGTCAAGAATTGTCTGTTAGAGTTAGTGTCCTTCCAGACGATGGCTCTGAACCCAAGGAGGTGTACATACGACGCTTCTTAATACAACTTGGTTTTGGCCCTCATGTTGAACCTAAAAGCATTGGCGAGAAAGTCCAGATACCAGAGACGATGGTGAAGCTGGTGGCCAAATTGCCGCTCTTCTTCGGGTGGACACCAGAAGCCATTCGAGGCAGCACCTTGACGAACCTTCTTTCACAACATGTGAACCTACATGCTATCGAATCATATATATATAATTATTATTACTATTATTATTACTATTATTATATATAATATTATATTTTATTATGTATATATTTATATATATTTCTAGAATTGGATTGGGTTTCTGCAAGTAGCTGGTTCCTGTTCTGACTATCCCAACGGACGTATTGTTTTGGTAAATGAAATTGCAAACCCAACATGGGGTGGATATGCATGGGTCAGGAAATCAGGGCCATGAAACCAAACATGGTTTCGATGCTTACCCTCTGGTAATTTAACATATTTACCCTCTGGTTATATCAAAATAACTATTGAAAATACCCCATTTATAATTGATGTGCCCATTAAAAATGGTGATTTTCCATAGTTATGTTAGTTTACCAGAGGGTACTTGTCAGAATCATTGGCTGTGAATGGCTGTGATATATTGAAACCCTAGCCATGCAAGTTTTGGAGACGGGTACAGTAAGTGAACATGCCACAACAAGCCTATTACACTATTCATAATTGGGATTCTTTCCAAAAGTACATCCCGATCATAATTATATTATAATTGTACATTCCAAGTGTATCTATCCAAATGTTCATAATTGGGATGTTAACAAGTGAAACTTATAAATATATGGATACATTGGATGCATATCCAGTTATATCCCGGAACTGCCTCAAGGGAACATCCGGAAGAAACACCGGATGTTTCATGGCAACAAGCGTCATGCTTGCCTTAATACTGTTACGTTGGACCATACCATTTTGGTGTTGGGTCCTTTAGCGGTTGTTTCTAGTTGGTGGTTTCACACATATTCCATGTTCCATCCTGTTTGAGACGTTGCCCCCAAGTGATTTTCATATCTTTCGGAATGGTGTCTCAACCAGCAACACTAGCCACCATTGTTTTATGACATACTTAGCTACCAACAGCCCACTTTTTCGCGACTGTTCACATACAATGTGTTCAAAGCAGACTCGGGCGTTACTTAGATTTTAGATCTACTGTATCTGAAATCATGTTTTGTGTGGGATTGTTGGTCAAGTACAGCTCAAAAGAACGTACGAAAACCATGTGCTTTGGACGCTCTGGAAGGTCTAGGTATCTTAAAATTCATCGTTCTGTTTTTGGATTACCAGAATTCCCAACAAGACCATCCCATCCTCCGGTGGCCGTGGACTTTGCAGTCTGCCGGTGCTGCTTCTGTAGCGGGCGCTGCTGTGTGCTCAGCGGCACTGCTGGTTAGCCAGGGTCGCAAGGCCGGGACGTCACTGGGAAGGATGATGCTTGGTCACGGGATTCATCCGTAAGAAACGATACAAATGGGGGTTTCCTAAACTGTGACGCCATTCAAATTGGACCATTTTAGTATCGAAAGCTATGGTTTTGGATTACCACCATTTTGGGAAACCTCCAACTGAGCATAGAATGGGAATATGATGAAGATAGTATGATGAGGATATAATAAGGATAGAATAGGGATGAAATTAGGACATAGTAATAAGGCTAGAATGAGGATGTAATGGGGGATTTGCACAATCCACTTGGGGAATGGATTTTTCGCGGTTCGGAGCTAGGGGTATCCATATTCAATTTTAGATGGGGAGCCAAGGTACTAAGAGTTTCCCAAATATAACGCGGATATAATGAACATATATGAAAATATAATATGACAGAATGAGGATACAATGGGGATGTGATGCGGATGTGGAAATAGGATGGGAACATCACGGGAATATCTCCAACAACATGACAATTGGGTGTGAACTTCTTGAGCAAAAACACCAGTTAATTGCTGTATTTTAGTGGGGGAAATGATGATTACCCTCTCGTAAACTAACATAACTAGTGAAAATGGCCAATTTAATTATAGTTGATTTACCTATGAACAATGGTGATTTTCCAGTTCGTTATGGAAACGTTTACCAGAGGGTAACCAACATGAACCAGGCAGCCACGCATTGATGATTAGGACCAGGATCTCTGGCACCATGGTGATGCCATATCGGAAAGGATGTTAGTACAGGCGTTGAGCGGCATTCAAAAACATGTGTTTTCTGGTCATCCTAGAGAAATGCTGGGTTTATGGGAATTATATTTAACATAGAAGTGTTGTTTTCCTCCAATTTGAGAAGTTACATAATTGATTCCAGGAATCTACGCTTACAAGCGTCCTGTTAGCGCATGTTGATGTCTCAGAACAAACAGAAGAGGAAAACAGAACCATAGACCCTATGTATATATATATATGTTATAAATTGTATTAGCCTTAATACATATACATTATAATACGCACATGTGTATGTATATATATATACTTTACTGTACACTGAGTATTTATATATATATACACATATTATATGTATATATATATATATGTATATTTAGTCCAAATACAGTAAGAGTATATAAAGATGTCAATGTTTAGAGACATCAACGCCAGCCAGGTGGGTGCCAGCAAGTCCTCCATCACAGCGCTGCACGCCTTCGAGCAGGCCCCAAGGGTTTCCTATGGGGCCCCAAGTCATTGGACCTAGGATTGAACCCCATGGTGACTTGGGGATTTTCCATTGTTTTTGTCCACCTTTGAAGAAACCTTGAACTGGAAGTCTAGATTCTAGATGAATCGATTGTTTTTTTTTCGGTGCTGGGGCCTTATCAGCAGATCTGAAGGAGTGGCTTAAGGGAAAAAATGCGGTGTATTGTATTTCGGGTGGTAAAAAAGAACATGGATTTCCTAGACGTTTCCTGCATCTATTTTCCCAGCAAGACCGCTCCATTGAATCTTGCGGGGACACTCAGCAACAAAAAATGTGGTGATCATCATTCTAGGGCAGTCCCTTCTCCCCAAAGAAAAAAAACTAGTTGGTGGTTTGGAACATTTTTTATTTTTCCATATATTGGGAATAATCATCCCAACTGACTTTCGTATTTTTCAGAGGGATTGAAACCACCTTGACCAACGAATTCGGTCATCCTTGGAGAATGGATTATGGTGCAGGAGTGACATCCTCTGTTTGAGTGTCACCGAGGTTTTGGTCGCCATATGTCGCCATATCATTGGGCCGGTTGGAAACAAAAATATAAAAACGTATTATTGAGTAGTCAGGTGTTGGTTACAGACTGTTGACCCTGTAATCTGTAATCATCAACACTACTCAATGCAGACTACTCAACTGTATTATATAGTATCGTGGTCGTAATGACATGGTGATGACCTCTCCGCAAGTCCGATTCTCCCCATGAATTTCTGCCAAAAAAATCACTTAATGCTGGGTCAGTTCCCATGAAAACCATTGAGCTCCAAGCGGAGTTCCCAGTGAATTTCCCATCGCTTGGAAAACAACTTGTGAAACACCCAGCTGCTGTTGGTAAATCACCAGAAAAACCACCATTGTTGCTGGTGAAACTGCGGAATTTCCGCATAATATCATTACATGTCCGTTACATGTCCCATTCAAATCTGATTGCTTGGAACAAAACAAAACCCAATGATTTTGATCCACCGACCCGGAGCGGCTTCGAAGGACTCCGAAAGGTTGAAAATGCCGGTTGATTTACAACACGAGATACAACAGCTGCGGCTGTGAATGTGAAATTGCCTGTGGCGCATGATGTTCGTCATCTCGGTGCGCGATTCGGGTTTCATGCTGGTATCCCCGTTGTCCATTGGGAAGATAAGCTGCAGCGCTTCTCTGAGCTTGTTCGCCGATCAGGGTCCCTTCCTTTGTCGGCTGAAGCAAAGGACTCAAATCAGGCCAAGGTGGTGCCACCCCCAGATACAAGTTGGTGAACATCACCCCCATGAAGTATAGTTCGTTATATATATATATATCTAATATTCTCTAAACCCAGCCCCACTTAGTATAGATATAGATTTGTCATGATATATCAAATATATCAAATATATCAAATATATCAAATATATATATATAATTATATATATATATCATATATATCATATATCTAGTGTGTATAGACATTTATAAACCCAGTCACAAAAATTGGAGTTCTGTTCACCGAACGCCAGGAGCTGGGCGTCCAGGCGCCTGTGGGCTACTGGGACCCCGCAGGCTTGGCCAAAGACGGCGATGCGGAGACCTTCAAGCGAAGGCGCGGCCGGATGCGGGATGACATGGTCGAAAAATCCACGGGGACATCACCAAAAAGCATAAAAAGAGGCTGGGATTGCGATGGGTTATGATGTAATGAAGGAAAAGTTGGATATGTTGGATTTGGATTTAATCACAAAAGAATTGGGATTAGTGGTTTATGGTCGGAAAGTTGGCTTGCAACGCAATTTGAATGATTTATGGTGAGTGCAGAACTATGGTTTGATGGGGCAAAACCAACAAACAAACCGCTCGTTGTTTGACCAGAGATGGGAACTTCTCAGGCGTTTGCTGCCCAAAGCGGGCAGTGTCAACCGGTTCCATGGTGAAGTGCCAGAAATGCCACGTCATTGCCTTGAGTTAGGCAGCTTCTTTCTAGCCTCCCTTGGATATCTGTGTCGAAAACAGTTGTGTGCACTCGATGGAAATGGAGGACCGAAAGATTGAGCTTCGAAGGGGAAAGGGAAATCGCAAGGACCTGAAGACGTCGATGGTGCTGAACAAGTGCGGAGAGTCCTTCCTGAAGCTGCAATCTTGGGTGTGCAGAGTCGCTTGATGGAATCTGAATGGAATGTGCCGATGTGACATCCACATGACCTTGATCAGCAAGAGGCCGTTGCCTTGGTTCCTCGCGATATCATTCCCAGTATGCTTCAGCGAGTAGGATGGACCACTCACCCATCTGCGAGTTGACGACTCAACCGCCCGATGGGGTCGGCCCGCACGGGTTCCCACGACAAGAAACACAGTGCACACTTTCAGTCACTGATGGATCCAGGGCAGGTTAGTTGGTGAACTGATGGCTTATCCAAGTGGCCAACGGAGTTCCATAGATGGGGGACCCCCAATAGCTGGATGGTTTGTTTCATGGAAAATCCCTATGAACAAATGGATGATGACTATAGGGGAACTTCCCCCATTTTAGAAAACCCCCATATGGGAAAAACCAACTACCAACCAGAGGATTTCGGGCTTCTTGAAATTGAGACCCTTCAGCAAGCACATGGCTTGAGGGTCCCCAAGTGACAGAAAGTCCCTCATAGGAATCTCTTGATCCCGGAAAAAATGGGGATGTAGCCCACTAAATGGAAACACGTGTGCAAGGTCTTGGGCTGATCAAAAGACTTGGGATGGTGGAGTACTCTACTTGGTAAAGTCACAAAACGTTACACCCGGTGTACAGTAGATTATATCCAAGGATCATGGATTTCCACAGTATGTTAGCTTTCTGGAGGGTGTGAGTATGTTCCTGTTTTCTGTGGATATTATTTGGACGATAGTGAGGGCGAGTATCTAAACAAGAGCAATAGGTTTTCTATTGAATTGTTGCTTATGTGTCCCATTAGTACATCCATTAATTACATAGAAGTGTCCTGTTACGTCACCAGAATGGGTTCCTCATATTCATATATTGTTGGTATAATATCACTATCACGGGCCAATTTAACCCCCATATGTTTTGGCAGACCCATATGGTTGGCTTTATACCACCATATTTGTTTCTCAAATCCCATGTAATCCGTATTAACGTTTTAGAATTATAATGGGACCAGCCACATGGAATGGCTAGATTCAACAGGAAAAACAATCTTCCAGTCTCACGTTTCCGGGCTTTATGTTGCCCCATGGTAAATTAAAATAGCTATGGCCAGTAAGCCATTAGCAGGTATTAGCAGATGGTTTACCCGTTGAAGACTGCCATGTTCCATCATGTTCATTCATTTTCCATGGCTATGTTTAGAATACCCTCTAAATATTTAGATCCCATTCATATCATCATTTCATATCCAACTATATATATATATAGAGAGAGAGAGAGAGGCCAGCGCTCTCAGCGCCCACAAATCTCGTAAAAAAATGTTATGTTTTGAGCATTTTCTGACATGTGTGTCCAAGCCTGTAAGCAATATGTACTGTTGCCTGTGGGAGATGCAATGTTGAAGTGACAAGTGCAGCCATATTTTTTCTGGGTGGGTAGATTCATGGAGAAAAGTGGCAAAAGGAGACCGCCCAAAACGTGGGCGCTCACAACGCTGCTTTCAGTATATATATATATAATATTTATATATTTATTATATTATATATAATATATATATAATATATATATATATATAATGTCTCAGTTTCTCCCAGTATCCACCATCAATAGCCCATTGAGTCCCTACTAAAGCCACTTAATTCTAGATAACTAGATAACCATATATGATCCATAATCCCAACGTACTTAACGTACTTCGTTCAAGTACTTCGCCAAGGCGTTCCGTGGAGCTGAAGCACGGACGCATCGCCATGCTGGCGACCATGGGTTTCTTGGATGGAAAAAAAACGTGTGCGGCAGCCCGGCAAATTGATTTAAGTATCATTAAAGTATTTGGCAAGTGCTCTTGCCATTTGCACCATTTTTTGTATCATCTAAGTAGTGTTATAATAACACAAATGGTACTAGTGTTACAATTTGCCAATTGCACCATTTGCACCATTTGCACATATCCGATTGGTCTCTTGACAAATTAAACATATGACAATGTAACTTTCATGGTATCTGGGGCCAGTTTCACGGCAGTTGGACCCAAAAAAATGGTATGAAACCCAAGCAACCCCAATCTCACCAGCTGCCGCTGGCTACTGCCGGCCACTGCGCTGCAAACAGCCGCTTGTGATTAAGAAGGCCAGCCTGTTGGCTGGGCACTGTTGGGCAATGCTTTTCTGAACATAATAAGGTTTAATAAAGGATTATTTGGAAATATGTTGGGATAGAATTTGTATAGATTTTCCATAAAGACCATCAATCAAAAAGGGACACCAAAAAAATCACCAAACAGTTCCACAGATATGGGTCCCTGCGTATGGTTCGGCGTCATCACAATCAAAAATCATCACCACCAGGGGGAACAAAATGTTCAGCATCCAAAGGGAAATTTACACTTACATGTTGTTTTTTGCTTCCTCTTTACTTGTCAGCAGGCGGTTTTGCAAGGGTTGCTCGTTTTCTTCAAATCCCAAAGCCCGCCACTGCGGCCTCCAAGGCAGAACCTCCAACGCCGGCCCCAGCGGCTTGAGGGGTGCGTGGCTGGGTTTCGAGCTTCCCGGTCCCAAGTCCAACTAGGAAACCACCACACCCAAAAACAAAAACAAAATTAAAACCAGAGATTGCCAGATTGCTTTCAATAAATAATCGGCATCGTAGGACATCATTGCAATCCCAAATTCCTGAAAGACTTACACTAGTCGCCCGACCTTTGTAGCACATGCCATGTTTCTGAACCAATTAAGCACCAAACAGCTTTCCATCACAGCCTTAAATCCAAACTCCAACAAATTGGACCAACACTGAAGTTGGCAAGGGTAGGTAAAATATACTGTAGATGGTTGATGCTAATGATGACATTTGTTTAACTCAAGTAACTCAGTATTCATCTCAGCATGCCAAGCCATGGCCAGGTACTCAAATCCAGCTACAAGAAAGGGGGCGCCATTCAGGGTACTCAGGGTGCAAGGGGCAGGGCGGTGGGAGCGGCCAGAATCCCAGAAGGTCATTTGAATCCCCAGTCCAAATTCCCAAAATTACCAAGATCAAATCATGGCACTCTCAAGTTCCAGAATGAAAATCCACATCTTCAAAATCGATGTCGATGATGGTGTTGATCCCCAAGATCGATGTCGGTGAGGGTTTGGATGCCAAAAATCGATGTCGGTGAGGGTTTGGATACCAAAAATCAATGTCCGTGAGGGTTTGGGTCCCCAAGATCGATGTCGGGGATGGTTTGAATTCCCAAAATCGATGGCGAAGAGGGCTCATAATTTTTCAGAAGCCCAAAGTCAATGTACCAGATGACATCTGGTACATTGATTTTGGCTATACTTGGTGGTCCTGATTTGAGAAAAAGTCGCTCCACAGTCGGAAAAATACCATATCTTCGACATTGACTTTGACTTGGGGGCTCAACATAAAAATCAATGCACCAGATCTCATCTGGTACATTGAAAACCTATGGTTTTGAGGGTTGAACATTGATTTGATGTTCGGTGCACAAAAATAAGATCAATGCCGAGGCTTCCAAACCATAGGTTTTCAATGTACCAGATGAGATCTGGTGCATTGATTTTTATGTTGAGCCCCCAAGTCAAAGTCAATGTCGAAGATAGGTATCTTTCCGCCTGTGGAGCGACTTTTTCTCAAATCAGGACCACCAAGTACCCTGAGCATCGAATATTGATTACAATCAATATTTTTGATCAAAAAATAATTGATTTTGATAAGATTGGTTTACTTTGATTATTTTGAAAAGTCCCTCTTTGATAGCATTGATTCTGAAAATTGATTTTTTGTTTGATTTCCCAATTAATTTAAAACCTTTTTTTACCTCTTCTGGGATTGATTTGTTTGATTTTGTTTTTCTGTTTGCAAGTGCAGTTTTTGGCTCAAAGTATAGAATTACACGTAAAAGGTTTGTATAGAAAATAAAAGCCTTGAAAAAGGCTTGGCCTGCTCAAGCTTGAAAAAGCATGAGTGGCCAGGGCAGAGGAGGTGCCAGACATAAGGCCAAGCCTTACATCGACACTGGTCTTCTGTTCAAAGTCCCCAACAAGCATGAGGAGTTAGTAGCAGACATGAAAGGGTATGAGGTGGTGTCCAGAAATAGTGCTGTGGACCCAAAAGCCTTGCATGCTCTGCTACCTCTGGTGAATGACCTGCTTGGCTTGGTGCCATCAGCAGAAGTTCACCCTGGCCCACTTAGGCAGGCTCTGTACCAAATGATCCAGCAGAAGCCTGTCCTGAACACATCTAAGTTCAAGGGTTCTGTTTGGATCCAGATGAGGGCAGAGCGCCTGGGAACTTTGCTGTTTCATGTCAGGAGGTTGGGCAGGTATTGGTGACCAGTCACTTTGTACCAACTTGACTGGGCTCGAATATTCCACTGGTGCAGGATACCTTGAAAAAGGTACAGCTCCCTGATGATGAACCCCAGCCTTCTGACAAGAGCAAAGTTGCCTTGAAAAAGGCCCAGGGCGCAGCAACCTTGAAAAAGGATGCAGCAATCTTGAAAAAGAATGCAGCAACCTTGAAAAAGGATGCAGCAACCTTGAAAAAGGATGCAGCCACCTTGAAAAAGGATGCAAACAAAGACCTTGAAAAAGGGTGCAGCCACCTTGAAAAAGGATGTGCAGCAGAGTAGGAAGCTGAAGAAGACCAGAAGTGATGTTTCTGTTGATTCTTTGGGCATCCCCAAAGAATTGGCAAGTCCACTCAAGGCTTCTGATGCTTCCCCTCCCAGAATATGGAACAAAAAAAAGTTTGGACAGAAGCAAAGCACAGCCAGAGAAGCCTCCATGGGCTTCAAGAAGCCTGCAGCTGCCTTGAAAAAGGCAAAAGCAGCCTCCAAACCCTTGAAAAAGGATTTGAAGAGCAAGAAACCTGCCACAAGCAGCCCCTTGAAAAAGGGCAAGGCCTTGAAAAAGGCTGGCAGACAGCCATGGGTAAAGATCAGGAAAACCATGGCTAAGAAACCTGAAAGAGCTTATTTGGTGGGTGCCCACCACGCACTTGAAAAAGTGAAGCTGATTGTGGGGGTTTCCCACAAAAAGAGTGTGCATTATCCCTGGGTCATTGACAAGATCTGGGAAGCTTTGCTGAAGGACCACCTCACAAAGGCAGAAGCAGTACAAATGAGGGAAGAATTGTGCTGCCAATATCCTTGAGAAATGATTTGCCCAATGTCCTTGAAAAAGGATTAGGAACAGCATGGCCTTTAAAATAGGGACATGCTTGCCAACTAGTAACTAGGCAAAATTTTGCTTTTGCATCATGCCCTTGAAAAAGGACATGGTTGAGCCATTCCTTGAAAAAGGAAATGGTTGACCTGCTGAACCTGGTAAAAGCCAGGTGACCTATATATGTTTGTTAAAAAATGCTGCAGCTGCCAGCTCCTGGTTGAAAATATATTTTACTAAGTAAGAAATATATATTTTGTTTTGGTGAAAGAAAAATAGATTTGACAATTTGACAAAAGTATGAATATGTTAAAATATGGTCACATTTTTTAATTTACATTGCATACCATGTAATGTAAAATATGTTTTAATGTTTCGGAAAATGTAGTAATATTTTTTGAAGACATACACATATAAATTTTAACTGTACAAATTTTGTATTTTTTAAATAGTGGAAGGTATCTTCACTTGTTTTGAAAATATAATACTGTTTCTTTTTTTTAAACAAAATCATTTTTTTGCTTTTAAATATTTTGCCAGGGCCAACTGCATGATGCAGTTGACCCTGGCAAAATATTTGAGCAATGGTTTTGATTTTTTGTAAATGTTTTCAAAAATGAATGAAAGGAATGGTTTGTTTTCCCCTTGGCTGGCTATGAACAATTGATTTTATTGTTAAAGAATAAAAATTCATTTGTTGAGAAAATTACATTCCTCCAAGTTTTTCTAGATTTCCATCATAAACATATTCAAAATAAATAGAAAAATCAAAAATAAAATAACAACATGAAAAAATGAAAAGTGATGAAAAGTGATGAAAAGTGATGAAAAAGTAGGTTTTCATCACTTTTCATCACTTTTCATCACTTTTCATCACTTTTCATTTTTTCATTTTTTTCTGTTTTTTGCTAGCAAAGGTTTGGAGAAAAAAAAAGGAAAAACAGAATTGTGTGAAAAACACGATTTTCCATTTTTGTTTTTGTAGCATGAAACCGATAAAAACATTTTTTCTAAAAATATGAAAAATGTAACCATGGGGTATACCACACCACAAAAATAAATGTCTGCAGCTGTTTTGGCTTAAAGATTTTGTATTTACTAATTTCAAAAACCGCCATGAAGAGACCAGCTGCTGCATCCTTGAAAAAGGATTCAGTCAAGAAGGATTCCTTGAAAAAGGACAACCCCAAGAACCAGCTGAATTCCACCAACTTGAAAAAGTTGGGGGAAGTCAGCCTGAAGGAGAAAATTGCTGCTGCCTCAGAGGAGAACAGTGATGAGGAGCAAGCAGCAATGGTTCTCCATTCCTCCATGACTGGTGTTGAGAAGAGAAAATGCTTGGAATCAGCACCTGAACCACTTGAAAAAGCCGGAAAACAAGTCCTTGAAAAAGGAATTTGACAGCCTTGACAAGAAGGGAAAGGGTTTGGCCACTTCTCTCTTCCTTTTGAAAAAAAAACAAGGCTGTCTTTGGCAATGTCTCCAGAACTCTGTCATCACCCTGGATAAGGTACCCCACTGGCATCACCCTGGAAAGGGGTGCTGTGGGCAATTCAAGGGGATCATGAATTCTTTAGCAATGCATTGAAGTTGCCTCATTGGGCTTCCAAGAAGCCCTGTTGGGAATGCAATTGCCAAAGTGACCCAATTCCTGAGGGGCTCTGGTACAAAACCCTTGAAAAAGGGAAGCGAAGTTTTAAAGTGGCCACAAATGAGGAGGCACAGCTCCATCCTCAAAGTGGCCACAGACTTTTCTCTGGTGTGATACCAGGCTTGACCACAAAGATGGTCCGAGGCGACTGCCTACATATCTTGTTCTGTAAAGGAGTGCTGGGGCATCTTTTGGGGGGAGTGATCCACTATCTCCTGTGGCATGATGGGGTTGGTGTTCATCAGTCCAACTTCTCCTGAAGCCAGACTGGGAGCCTTGTTCCAGGGTGTGCAGAAGGAGTATGTGAGACAAAACTCCTCAAGTAGGATCACCAACCTCAGGATGTCCATGCTGTGTGACATCAAGAACCCTCACAAGACCTTTGCCACTTTGGATCTCAAGGCAGCAGAGACAAAGCATTTCTTACATGCCTTTATCCCAGTGGCAAAAGAACTCTTGACCATGGACTTGGTGGAAGAGAAGGCAATGCTCCAGGCCTTAGATGCCATCAGCAGAATCATCAAGTTGTATGATGATGCTGATGCTTTCTTGACTGAGGCAGAATGGCTGAAGGTCATGGGCCTCTGTGAGAAATTCCAAGACAGATCTGCTTATCTGTCGTCTTGGGCCCTTGAAGAAGGGAGAAAAAAATCAACATTGTGATGAAGTCTCACACATTTCAGCACCTTGTTGATCATTTTAAATTTTTAAACCCCAAGACACATTGGACATTTTCATCAGAGGACTTCGTAGGTAAAATCTCCATAGTGGCCTCTTCTGTGAGTCCTGGAGTGAGCTCCACCAAGATTAGTGCTAAACTAGCACCTAAGTATAGGGTGTTGCTCCACTTTTTGCTCACAAGAGAAGGGATGGATATGGCAGCCAGAAACATTGATCCTTGAGAAAGGATCATGTCTTCTTTGTCCACTACCCATCCCAAGATAACCTTGAAAAAGGTTGCCAAGGCCCAATCTTGAAAAAGATATCTCTTGAAAAAGAATTCGATTTTATCTGCAATTCCTGCATCTTGAAAAAGATAGCAATAGTTCTTGAAAAAGAGCTGGCCTGGAGCAGCTGTCTTCTTTCAAGCAGCATGGACATCCCCTTGAAAAAGGAAATCCTTGAACAAGGAAGGTTTTGAAAAAGAACCTAATCCCCTTCTGGTGCCCCATGGTACTCCTATCTTTTCCTTGAAAAAGGATTTAGAGTAGGTTCTATAGATGTATATATATATATATGTATAGCAAAATAGCTGGCAAAGTCCAGGAGCTCATGCATGGTGCCAAAAGTTTGTGTGTCAGCTGTACTGGGACTGGTGTTGGGATGGTGGGGCACCTTGAAAAAGGTCACTTAAACCCTCAAAGCTGCATTGATTTGTTTGATTTTTTGTCCTCCAAATATGAATTATTTTTTTGATTGTTTCTTGTCAAATATGGGTTGATTTTGAGGTGAGATTTTGTATGAATTCCAATTGATTTCAAAATCAATCTTATCAATATAATATATTGATTTCAAGACAATCAAACAGCGTTTGAAAAGATTGATTGTAATCAATATTCGATGCTCAGGGTATAGCCAAAATCAATGTACCAGATGTCATCTGGTACATTGACTTTGGGCCTTTGAAAAATTATGAGCCCTCTTCGCCATCGATTTTGGGAATTCAAACCATCCCCGACATCGATCTTGGGGACCCAAACCCTCACGGACATTGGTTTTTGGCATCCAAACCCTCACCGACATCGATTTTGGGCATCCAAACCCTCACCGACATCGATCTTGGGGATCAACACCATCATCGATATCGATTTTGAAGATGTGGATTTTCATTCTGAAACTTGAGAGTGCCATGATTTGATCTTGGTAATTTTGGGAATTTGGACTGGAGATTCAAATGACCTTCTGGGATTCTGGCCGCTCCCACCGCCCTGCCCCTTGCACCCTGAGTACCCTGAACGGCGCCCCCTTTCTTGTAGCTGGATTTGAGTACCTGGCCATGGCTTGGCATGCTGAGATGAATACTGAGTTACTTGAGTTAAACAAATGTCATCATTAGCATCAACCATCTACAGTATATTTTACCTACCCTTGCCAACTTCAGTGTTGGTCCAAATTGTTGGAGTTTGGACTTAAGGCTGTGATGGAAAGCTGCTTGGTGCTTAATTGGTTCAGAAACATGGCATGTGCTACAAAGATCGGGCGACTAGTGTAAGTCTTTCAGGAATTTGGGATTGCAATGATGTCCTACGATGCCGATTATTTATTGAAAGCAATCTGGCAATCTCTGGTTTTAATTTTGTTTTTGTTTTTGGGTGTGGTGGTTTCCTAGTTGGACTTGGGACCGGGAAGCTCGAAACCCAGCCGCGCACCCCTCAAGCCGCTGGGGCCGGCGTTGGAGGTTCTGCCTTGGAGGCCGCAGTGGCGGGCTTTGGGATTTGAAGAAAACGAGCAACCCTTGCAAAACCGCCTGCTGACAAGTAAAGAGGAAGCAAAAAACAACATGTAAGTGTAAATTTCCCTTTGGATGCTGAACATTTTGTTCCCCCTGGTGGTGATGATTTTTGATTGTGATGACGCCGAACCATACGCAGGGACCCATATCTGTGGAACTGTTTGGTGATTTTTTTGGTGTCCCTTTTTGATTGATGGTCTTTATGGAAAATCTATACAAATTCTATCCCAACATATTTCCAAATAATCCTTTATTAAACCTTATTATGTTCAGAAAAACATTGCCCAACAGTGCCCAGCCAACAGGCTGGCCTTCTTAATCACAAGCGGCTGTTTGCAGCGCAGTGGCCGGCAGTAGCCAGCGGCAGCTGGTGAGATTGGGGTTGCTTGGGTTTCATACCAATTTTTTGGGTCCAACTGCCGTGAAACTGGCCCCAGATACCATGAAAGTTACATGATATCATTAATAATTAATTAATATAATGTCAGGTTTCAATGATTGGAATCCGCCGAGGTTACATCACACCAGAGATCGCAGGCAAGTTCCCAGGACGGAGCACAGATATGCTGGTGCAATGGGAAGGAATGGATGCGCAATCGGAATGGGCTATCCACGTGACAAAGTCCGATGCACCTTTGTTGTTGGCTCGGTGAAGGGGTCGTGATTGGTTGTGCCACACCATTTCCCCATGATTTCTGGACTGCTACTATATATTCCTTTTGGTCCATCATTGGAATAATTAGTCAATCCATATCGTACCATATCATTAATCATACCTAATATTCCTTAGTGGTCCATCATTCATCAATCCATTTAAGTCATACCTTTCGCCGCCATCGATCGCGTAGGATTCCTTTCACCCTCTGCCGGACTGAAGTTCGCAGATGTGCCCAATGGCTTGGCAGCCATCTCCAAGGTGCACTGGGACTTAGCTATGGACCACTTACCATCTGGTTATGACTAACAGTTCGCCATGGAAGATCAATGAAAATCACCATTTTTAATAGGTAAACCCAGGTAAACCATCTATAAATGGGCCATTTTCCATGAATCACCATGCTATTAATAGGTAAACCATCTATTTCTATGGGCCATCTATACCATGGCTATGTTAGTCATAACCAGATGGTATGGTTTGATGATTTACCATGATTTGCCTATAGACATGGTATGAAATCCACTGTTCCATGACTTAAACTGGTGAATTACCAGAGGGTATATCAATGTCTTCGGTTTGGATGAGGTTATTTGCCATGTCTTTTCGGGCCTTCCATGCAACTATATCCATCTCTTTGATTTTGAAAACGCTCAGCTAGATACCAATGCTGCATGTTTTTTGGTGGATACTACAGTATTCGTTGGAGATTGAACACAGGTTCTCTGTGATACCCGTCTCTAGTATTGATGATCTATCTTGAAAATGATTTTCCAATGTTTTCCAAATATTGATTTTGATCAGCAGCCACGAGCAGTTTCAAAAACCCGAATGGAACATTCTAGGTAATGTTTTTTGCTCCCTTCACAACATTGAATAACCAGATTTTTTCTTGGTGCTTTCCATTCAGAACAGGGGAGAACTGTCAGTGGATGTGGAGTAGCGATTCCTGTCCTGCTAACTTATTTGCACACTCTCTCTTAGATTGATATAACCCATTGAAATACCCCATGTGTAGACAAATTACCTATTGAAATCCTGTTGAACATGGCTATTTTCCATGGCTGTGTTAGATTGCCAGAGCGCATGTGCTGTATGGTTGATGAACTATGTTAAACTCATGTTGATGGTGGCGAGCTGGGTAGTGACTTCTGAAGATTATGAAAGTCAGAGGGTTACTGGTAGTTGGTGGCTGACATGTGATATCACCCTGTGATTTTGGTTGTATCCGCCATATCAAAACCTGAGCTTAGAAATACAGAACATTTGGATACATTTGGGGGTTCTTGAACATGCGAGACCCCAAAACGATTGGCTTCCCTATCTGAAATGAACACTTTGGGATGATTTTGAGGTCCTCCATGTTATGACATCCTCGTTTGGGTTTGTCTGAAATATCGGACATCCACCAACATCCCATGGTTTATCATCATTTTCCCATAAGACTATCTAACTATATAACTACTACATATTTTTGGAGGTATACCCTCATGTTCAGACCCATTAAAATTCCCCATTCACCCTCCTTTTCCATTCACCCCCCCCTTTCCAGTGGTTGTCGGTGTTTAAGATATTGAACAACCTTAGATCAATCTTTGTAGATTCTTAATATTCCCATGATAATCATGATATCCCATCAACACGTTTTTTCAACACCAGTGTGTTCTCTCTTATCCCCATTATCAGCCATTGTCCTCCATCACCCTCCAGGAATCAATCATGGTTTGCTGGAAAATCCATTATTCAAACGATTTCTCCAGCTACAAACCTCCATTTATATGGGATTTTCCTGCCAGCCCTGTTTGATTACCTGAAACTACCACTGTTTTTGTTGGCTGTCAAATATATAGATGTGCTCCTTCTAGATTCTGAATATCCGCAATCAACCGGATGCATTTTTTTTTCTTTGAGTTTTGCGGGTAAATCCCAAGCTCCAGCGGCACCAGATCACCAGGTGCCACCGGGCGGCTGGACTCAGATCCTGCTCTACATGGGCTGGTGCGAGGTCTCTCGTGGTCCAGGCGACGGAGGATCCCGTGACTCGCGGGTGAGGAAAAAAAACACACAGATTGATGGGATACAGGATGGGGCCCCTTCAGATAGCGAGCCAAGTTGAGATATCAGTGGCTGAATTCTGTGGTTTATGGTAGACATAACTATGGGTGATGTGGGTTAGAAACCAACAAACAAAACTGGGGGGCACCCTGTAGGGATAATCCACTTATATAGACTTAGCAACCGGGCTTATTAACCACTTACGATTCGTGGGATGATATCCAAGTAGATTACAGAGGTATCTCCCATATCCATAGGTTGCATTGTTGCAATATTTTGTCCCATTTGGTTACTGGTTCTTCAGCTCAGCAGAAATGGGGAATGAACATGTACCTGTTTATTCAAACTGTACTTTTTGATAGTCCCGCCATGGAAGCGAATCCAAACTTTAACCATTTTGAACATTTCGATGGACATGCGCACACGCAACATCACACAACTATATACGTAGAGGTAGCCAGGGAAAATTGGGTGTGGGTTGAAACCTATGGGCCCAAGATTTGAAGGGCTTAACATCCATTACCTTCTAGTGATCAAACATGGCTGGAAAATCCACCATGGATGATTTTCCCAACTAAATCTCCGTTGATAGGGGGGTTCCACCTAGCCATGAGGACAGGAGGGAAATCTTGGAAATCTCCGGTTAGTTCGGGATCAGCAGATCCCAAGTGCTGAAGGCTCAGACATTGCCAGCGGAAGACCTGGTGACTTTGGTTGGTACGTTGGGAGTCCCAGGAACCACAGTGCCACAGGTGGGATTGCAGCGGAGAGTACAGATTCCCCAAAGATCTGGGTTTGAAAATTTGGGTGAAACCCCCAAAATCCCATTGTGAGAACCAGATTTCCTGTGTAAAGATATGTAACAAATGCATACAAATGCCATGAAATGGGTATCCCCTATTTTTGTTGACGAAGATTTGTCTTCCAAAAATGAAAGAATATTGGTTTTGGAGAGTTGATTGAAGAGTGAAGTGAGCACCGAACCTTTAGCTGGTTGATGGTCACACATGAGGTTATACTTCTGTTATGCTACATGGTTTCAAGAAACTTATTCCCAGACATAACGAGAATTTGTGATGACCTGTGGTTACAGCTTCACATGGATCCCTGAGCTGTATTGTTGACCCCTGTTTTGATACCTTCATAGTTGCGTTGTTTTGCAGTAGCGCAGACTGGTGGCTTCTGATTCTTTTTGGGGCACTTGCAGGTTGCAAACTCAAGCACATTATATATACTCAGTATATATGTATAGTATCGTATGTAACATGCTTCAACCATGACACTGACACGAATGCAACCTTATTATCGGCAATCATGACGTTCAATAAGTCAGGTACTGGAAAGCCCGGCCAGGTATTGATACATCAAGTTAATCAAGTGCAGTGGCAGGATTCTGACTGTGGATTTGTCTGATATTGAAATACCCCAAAATAGCTATAATATGTCCTATTAAAAATGATAAATGGCCATTCAGTTTAGGTACTCCGGTATTCCCTATTTTACAAGCCTTATTTGCAATGGAACTTCTGGCACAACGAGGAGCCTAGTGTGACACCTCCCTTGGGCAGTTTGCGTTGGTGAGTGTGGCAAAGAAACAGCCCGACTGGAACATCTGAATACACGCATTTTGCGCAAGCCATGTCCATATCCTCACAAGCCTCAGAGTTCTTGGATGACTACACCTGGAAAATAAAGTGTCACCGCATGCCTGGATGACTTATTTTGGAATCGCAAACTTCGGTCTTGGATCCGAAGATTTGATTACCACATTTGGTTGTGGTGAAATTTCCATGCGGGCGAACGTTTGCATGGACATACATTCAGAACAACCTACCTCGCACCAAATGCTTTTGAAGTGGTTCGCCCCCTGCTCCACCAGATTGGGTGCTAGAAGTGGGTCCTTCTTTGGATACGTCAACAAGGAAACTGTGCTGTTTCTTCACTCAAGCGTAGAGGTTTTCTTTTCGATGATGTATCCATAATGGATGATATTGGGGGGTATAAACCCAGTAATGTTATTATGGTTTACTAATATTTACATAGGGTTCATGGTAGATATAATATATCCATAGATTCATCCACATAGATTCTATAGATAATGAGGGATATAAACTATATATAGAATCCAAATATCCATAAACTATACATTATTGATAATGATGTTTGTTTACAAACATTGCCGGTGGCCCACTGCTTCCCTCACAGTTCGTCGACCAGGTCTTGACCTCCGCCGATCCGGAGGAGAAGAAGAAGAAACTCAGCGCAGAGCCTCGACCGGGAAACCGTTGTGGAAACCTAGGGTTTTTTTTGCTATCATATGGCCATTTAGTAGGGATGATATGGGATGATAATATGGGATACTATGGGATACCATGGGATAATATGGGATAATGATGGTTAACCAATGGATCTTATGGGATACCTGATTTTCAGACAAATCCAACTGGCTAAATGGTGAGTTAACCCACACAAATGGGACCTTACATGGAGAGTTAAATCACGAAAAAAAGCGGTGTCCACTGTAAACATGTTTCAAATCAACCGTAACCATTTTTTCAAACATACCCTCTGGTAAACTAACATAGCTATTGAAAATGGCCATATATAATGGATTTACCCATTAAAAAAATGTGATTTTCCATAGCTATGTTAGTTTACCAGAGGGTAACATAACCTTAATCACTTTCTTCAATATCACTGGTTGGTGGTTTCAAACATTTTATATTGTTCATTTCATATATGGGATGTCATCCTTCCCATTGACAAACTTTCAAGATGGTGCAATTGCACCAGCAACCAGATCACATTTTCCACGTGTTCATGCTGATCCAATATCCATCCACCTTCCCACCAGTTTTGGTGAAATCCATGAGATGATAGCCAGATAGCCACCATCTCAGGAGTTGGCCAACGGACGGCTGGCCATGATGGCCATCATTGGCATGTCTGGGCCCAGCTGGGATGATGTGAGATTCCTGAAGAAAAATGGGTAATTTTGGAGGATAAATTGGGGAATCTGGGGATTTTTGGTGGGGATAAATTGGGGAATGATCTTGGTGATATAAAGCTAATATCATGGGAAAACTCATTGGATCATGTGCCCGGATTTCCCAGCCTGACTCACCCTTTATGTGGTGTATGTTCAACTGGAACATGGTAATTTTCATATATTTTCATACAATAATGAATGGTGATTGATGGTGATAGAATAACCATTAAATTGCCCAATTTACCATTACAAAATGGTGGTTTACCAGACAGATTCAGACAAATTTGTTGAAATACCAGACGGTATGGATCATTTGACCCTTGAGTATCAATCAGTTTTATGGTGTTCACATCGAACGTGGTCCTCAAAAGTTTGTTTTGTACAATGATGATATACTGTACCCTCCAGAAATCAAACGTTGCCATTAAAACTTTGAGTTTTAATACGAGGTTTTCAGGTGGGAAAATCATCAAACTAAATGGGGGGTTTTCCAGCAAACCAGGTTTGATTACCGTGGGGTATTGCATTTTTTTGACTCTTGGCTCTTGGACAACCACCATGCACCCCATTGATCCAAGGCTCATCAGACATTCGGCCTTTTGTGATTGTAGATTGCAGCCTCATTTGCTGTGGTTCCAACTATTGCTGTGGTTCCAACTATATACCCTCTGGTAATTTAACATAACTATGGAAAATCACCATTTTCCATGGGAAAGTTCACAATAAATGGTGATTTTCCATCGTTATGTTAAATTACCAGAGGGTAGGTTATGGACACAATTTTAAGTCCTGAGACCTACAGATTCCCAGATCTTAGATGATTTGTGTTCTTTTATCACTAAAAATGTTTGTAGCAGCCATTTTGACAATGTGACCACCATGTCTCCACCTGCTGTTTTTGATAATTGTTGGTTCCCTCTCAGTAACCGCTTTTGTTTGTCTGAACATAGAGCGCCGCATAGTACCGCCAGTACCGCCATTCCATCCATTGGTTAATAATTTCATCAATAAAATTACGTATGTATGCATGTGTATATATAATCATAATTTTCAGACACACCCACATATCATATCTTTGCTTAGTATGTATATATATATATATATATATTACTTGTATATTACATGTATATAAATATATATATATACATGTATTTCTTTAAATCGACCAGCACATCACCATCAAAGCTGCGGAGGTTCTACCAGGACGGCTTGACCGGCTCCGCTTGGGGCGACTGGTCCTTGTACACCGACTCCCCTCTGCGTGCGGAAGCGGACTTCACTAAGGAGGGTGGGAGATTGGACGGAGATTGGAGCGAAATTCCGCTGGAGATTTCACTAACTGATTGGTGGTGACTGGAACATGGCCCATAGAAATAGTGGATTTAGCCATGGAAAATGGTGATTTCCCATAGTTATGTTGGTTTACCAGAGGGTATTTTTCCATTCAGTGGGGTAGGTATACCACCGACCAGCTAATTATATTTTTATTCAATAGGGAACTTGGTGAATATGATGGGATTATTGTGATATCACTATTTAATAATGGTGAATTATTGTATAATGATGATTTTCACTATTAGTGAAAATCAGCTGGGAACATGGTGAATATAATGAGCCAATATTGGGATATGATGGTGAATAGATTACCCCCTGGTAGTTTTACGATTTTGCTATGGAACACGGCACAGTTATAGAGTTATAGATGATTTACTGTGAAGCCTGTGTTTGCCAACGGTGCCAAAGGGAGTCTTTGTCATGGCAACATGTCCATCCTCATGGCGTTGTTTCTGATGGATCCAATTTGGTGAGTCCGAAGACGACAAGCCGCACCGATCTGGATGCAGATTTCTTGGAAGAGCGGCATGAAACTTCGCTATATAAGAAACAACATGAAACAACTAGTGTCCAAGGGGGCAACAAATCCCTCATGGCGGTGTCCAACAGAGCGTGCCACAGATGGCCATAGCGGCCATGGAGAATGACGTTTCTGTTTCGTCATCGCAGCTTGAAATGTTTGCCTGAAAGTAGGGTACCCCCCCCAACCAAAAACATAGTTTGTCAGTTTGTCATGATGTTTCCCTATTGAAATGGCCATTTAGTTCAGGGACCCCCTACTCTTGAAGACACCCCCGCAAGGGAAACTCCACCTCAACGAGGAGCTTGGTGTGACACCTCCCTTGGGCTTTTGGGACCCCTTGGGCTTCAGCAAGTTCGAGAACACCGAGGCCAATCTGCTGGAAAGTTGGCTTTGAACGACCATGAGCGACCAATTTTGGTCCTGTAACATGACGTAACATGTTTACCAATGGCTCTTGCCTAGATTATCCAGGTGATTAATTTTCATTACCGACTGATAATATGTGATTAATGTATGTCACGCGCAACAGTTTTGACCTGCCCGCAACAATATTCCGCTATTGCTTGTTCAGGTATTTACCAACATGTTCATCAAAAACATGTCAAACGCAAACATGTCCAGATGCAATGATGTGTTTTTCATGAACAAAAACTAATGTGTTATGCTTTGCGGATAATTACTTAATCATATCATTGAACATAATAATATGCATTTGTTTTGACAATTCTGAGTTATTGGTGATATTTTGGAATTGCGTTATTGATTATCCATATGAAAACATTTGACAACACGATTTAATGGTCAACACTCATCACTACATATTTTGAACGCTGTGATAAAGTTAGATTATAATCAATATGTTGTCATCTTATTTGTCATCACAACTTTATGGTCATTACTCATCACTATTTATGGCCATTACTGTTTGTTAGTAAGTTCAAATCATCTTGCCATGGTCATCACAACAGCTGCCAGTTGGCCAAGCTGCAGTTCAAGCGTCGCCGCATTGTGGAGATCCAACACGGCCGTGTGTCATGGCGATGGGCATGGCCATGGCATCCGAAACCACGGTGATCTGGGGGAAAACCTTGGGACATGAGAGGGGAAAGCGGGCAAGAATGCTTGGAAATGTCATATTGAATTTCAGCTATTTTTTTTCTTAGAGTCATGAACGATTGAGATGAGCAATGAGATGTTGACTCGCTGAGCCAAGCTGGTCAAAACCCGCAGAGAAAAACAAACACTTGACTTGGTTGGACAGCTGGGTTTTAGACATTGTTTGCCTGGATTCGTTGCAGTGTAGAATTGTGATCCGCGGTCTGATTGTAATTCCCTAGTGGCTGAGCGCATATGTAAGTGTGTAAGCTTAAAGTGGTAAATTGCTCTGTATGACATTGCATACTGTAGGCCTTGTATCAGGAGACTACCATGTTCTGCAGATGGCAGCATGTAATGTTTAAAGCATTTAAAACATAGTGTTTGCTTGGAAGTGCCTCATCTATAAACTGATGAACATTATTCATATTTATTCATTTGATGGCAGCATGTAATATATATATATAATATATATATATATAATAGATAGATCCTATATATATACACATAATATAGATATTATGTTTTGTTAGGAACCGTGGCGTGCATTCTGGTCCCTAGGTGGCCATGCTCGCTTGCATTGGTTATATCGTACCTGAGTACGTGCGATTTCCAGGCCAGATTTCCATGCGGATGTCGTCCATTCATTGATCCATGGCAGTGCTGTGGTCTGAACATTGGAGATACCGTAATCTTATGGCAAAGGTAATTGCAAATGATCAGAAATTAGTGGATTTTTTGGGGTCAACAGATTGAGACAAAGCCAAATGATGTAAGGGTGTTTAGTAGTTGGGTGGGGGTTAAATTGTTCAATGCTCTGGAGGCCACAGATTCAAGGGATCCAAAGAGTCCAAAACAATGCCAGTAATTAACCCTGAGTGATTCATCAATAGATACCACTTTATTTACCGGGCTAGAATTTAAAAGGGATTTAAAAGTGGGGCTGGTTATCAATCCAAGGATAGCATTAGGGTGGCTACAGCAGGCTACAGTGAAATGCTGATACCTTGCTACTAAAAGGGTACCACCCGCAGGACTTGACATTACAAAGTGTAGATCTATCGAAGTCGGATTTCAAGCGGGTTGGCATCGGGGTTTCTGCAGGACTCCAGAGTGAATTGATTCCCTTTCGATGTATGATCCTCGGGGGCTGCATGATTTCAAAATATGATTGTATCATCAGATTTTTGTTGGTTGAACCCCCTTGTTTGGCAGATATTTGAATCTTTCGGATAATTTCCGTGCCAGGCTATTGCTCGCCTTCCATGAATTTGGCTTTCACTGACATCCCCAACGGCCTCAAGGGCGCAGCCATGGTGCCATTGGCAGGTGCCCTTTCTACGGCGATGTCGAATGCATCGTTATCATTGAATCATGTTTATGTGATATTTTTAGTATAGCATTGTTTATGAATGTTGAATACTGTCCTCATCAGACTGTACAGTTGCATCACGAATCACAACAGAATTTCCGCTTTTGGAAGAAAGCTTCCTTTGAGAGTCGCCAGGATGGTTGCAGATCATCACATTCGTCCCTTGACCGCGGAACGGTGATTTTTCTCCTTGTCAGACTGCGAAATGATCATCCCATTCTCAATCGTTCATCATCTCTAATCATGAGTCCAGTACATGTTGTTTGGATTTAAGAACGTTTGGCTCGTTGCATCGCACACCTTTTAAATCTAGCTAGTGCTTGCTGCGGGGTTCCAGTCATGCTTCCCCAATCCTTTTGTGTTCTGGTGCCAAGTAAGGTTCCTCCAAATAAGCTTCTTATCAACAGCTTAATCGATCTGAACAGTTATTTGAACAGTTATTTAAGTTTCTTCCTGCTCACATGTTCCAGATGTGTATAAGTTTGAAACGGCCGTTGTAGGGGATTTTAATGGAACATGAGCCATGGCAGCTATGAGTGGAGAAGGAAACCATCGGAGCACAACTCGCTCCGTTCATGCCGAGGTCGGAATCATCGAGTGTCTCGGTGACTGATGGACTGGTCTTCAGAAAACCATCGTTAAATCACTGGCTTTCCTACCCTCTGGTAAACGTTTACATAGCGAACTGGTAAATCAATGTAAATCACCATTTTATAGCTGGGTAAATCAACTATTTCTATGGCCATTTTCAATAGCTATAGTACTATCGAGGTTTAGAATATGAAGCAAATGCTTCAACCATCTTCAGCCATCTTCAACCAATTCCAGGAACTTATTGTGTTCTTGACTTGAAGCTGCTTGTCTCCAGTCTGATTTCATGGTTGTAGCACCTTTCTGAAACAGCTGCTGCTACTCCTGGGATGAATGTTCTCCTTTTCAACTTGAATGTCTGGCATCGCATGTATAAGACCCACGGATCAAACACCCATGGATGGGAAATTCATGGAAATACCACCTTCAAATGGCTGAAATATTACAGTTTGATACAGTTTGTTGCTTTTTCATTGAAGTGTCTATTAGCAGGCGAAATTGACCTGTAGCCATGCGCTTCTCATACCCAGAGTCTGAGCTTGGTGTCGAATAATAACAGCTTGCCATTCCCAGGGAAAAACCTCAGAGAGACCATGAATCATTTGACCCAAATCCATCCCAATCCTAGTTCCATAATATGTGTTGTTTGTCTTTACTGTTATATTTTTATTGTGGGACTGTAGCTACCCCGAACTTGGGTCTTGCCTATATTTTTATTTGGTGAACCAGGCTATAGTAGCATAGCTATGATTGAATATGGTATCATTGAGATTCTACATGAATTTATCATCACCTGGTCATTTCGACTTGGAGAGCCATCCATTTGCAGTAGAAACTGGTTATAGTAGCCCTGGTTACTAAGCCCCCCCAACCAGATATTTTCCTATTTACAACTGAGTCCCTGAGTTCTAACTATGCATGTGCCATGGAAAAAACTTGGTGAATGCATAGCCCATATTTGGCTATATAGTCATCAATCCTTGATGGGTTAATGAAGTCATGATGACAACGATATCCCTGGTCCGATGACAACAATCCATATCCCATTTTTGTTGAGCACGGTACCACTTTGAGAATGTTTGAGATTACCACCTTAGGGTCACCCCCCATCCTAAAGGTCACTCCCCACCAAATAAGGCCTCACTATGTTTCGGGGTTATGTTGCCCAGCACCCCAACAGGGCTGATTCCTTTTTGTCCGGCCCTTTTCTTCTTGGGGTTGGTCCTTGGTGGAGTTCCACTCAAACATCTTTCATGACTCAGGGTCTTGAACCTCCAAGCAGCCCAGAGCGATGTGTTGGGCGATTATGGTCTCTCTGTCAGCAGCGATGACTGGTGGTGCAGCATGGTGCAACTGCTCCTCCGGATGTTGGCATAATCCCATCTCCGTAATGTTTTCAAAGTGGCAGTGAAGAAATAGGGATTTAATAGGATTCAATGGGAAAATCATATTTGACACCCCCTTGGAAACCATGGTTTGGTAAGGGATGAAACCACATATGACTGGGACCATTAACCATTGGGGGGAGCTTCAGCTTCATATGAACGGGGGATGGGATTTTGCATGGACGATACCCGGATTCCTACAAAAGGGTGACGGTTTATTACAGATGATGACATATTTTAGAGGTTCTACAACCTTTTGAAAGCTGGTTGAAGACAATATTTACCCAGTCCAAGTAGTTCATGCTGACATGCAATATTGTTGGTGGGGCATGGTATCTGAGTTCAGTCAAGATCTGGTGTTTTTGTGTCACGTGGTTTGTCGTCTCAACCGCCTGTTTGGCACAACTCCCCTTTGACTATTTTTGACCCATATTTTCCGTTGGAAGTTCTAAGCCACCAATCCCAAAGTTGGCGAAGTGTGCAGGAAAAAGACAGCAAATCTGGAGCATCTCAAACTTTGCCCTTGGGGTCCTCCTTGGTTTCCTCCGAAATCGATCACCTGCAAGTGACCCAACCGTGGACTCCACTGGAATCCAATGCCTAGTGGCACCTTTTTTCGGCACCAGGTTACGGAGCCTTTGGCATCCCTTACGGAAAGAAGATTGAGGCGTTTTTTCGGGTGCTTGGAGTGGGTTGGCTCCTCTGACCAGACATCCCAGCGATCCAGTGAAGATGATAGCCATGGCTGATAGGCTCTTCTGACCGTGTTTTTTTCCCTAGGACAAGAGCCCTGTTTGTGAGAGTTTGAAATGAATTTGGATGTGGAAAAGGCACAAAACAAGAAGAAATCGGCAGATAGACTCGGGTAAGAATCATTTGTTCTACTGAAGTTACCTCTGACCTCACCCAGTACCTGACATTTTCTTTCAGGTTCTGCACATTACCCAAAGGCATGACTGGTGTTTAAACCCATTTGTGGTAGGTTGAACTGACCCACAGGCGTGACAGGTGGGCACTTCCCAAGACGCCCTTGGCATTAACACTTTGACGTTTGACATGCAAGGCTAGGATTTTTTAAGAGCTGGGAAGGTTTCCACAATCCCTTGAAATCCATTGCTCAGTTGCACAGCAACGACCCCATAAACCAGCAGCCACGTTTCACCAAACTGCAACATGCTGCTAGGACCCAGAGAAGAAAAAGAAGAGCTTGACAGCAGAGATTAACAACGGACGACTGGCCATGATGGCCATTATTGGTGACTCAGCCTAACAAAGTGGAAAGTTGGACCAAAAAGTGATGGATAGTTATGGATGCTTATGGATAGGTCTAAGACTCTAGGACATGGGGATATTTTTTTTGGATATGTTATGGGAAATGTTGTTTGGAGTTGCTTAAAGTCTCTTAAAGTGTGTGTTTTGCATGCCTGCTGCTAAATGTGCATTTTGTTTTGCCTCACCGACGAGTTGACCAAAGCCATTTGCCCACATCGATGAGCTTGGCCTGAAGGACAAGTAGCAATCTCACAGAGGGCCGATGAGGTCCAACATGGATCAAGGGGGGTATCAATTTGCTGGAGAAGGCAAGGTGAGATCAGGTCAATCAGGTCCAGGACACCGCTTCCGGTGTGACATTTGTCAATTCGATATAGTTACAACGGTTACAACCCTAATTACAACCCAAATTGCGAGTACAAGGAGCTTCACATCGCCTCTGGCAAGATCGGATCATGGGCGGCTGAACAATCCACCTAGCAGTGTACCGTTGACCCCAACCCCAGCCCCAGTGACCGATCCTGTGAGCCCAGAGTACAACATACAACCATTGAACCAGGCATAGCACCAGCATTCTGGGTCATTCTTGGTGAATCACTGTGAATCTCCTCATTGTCCAGCCGCAGTTTAGTCCATCAATCCATCGAACCATGGAACAGGAAATTGAGATGTGGAAAACCGGAAACCCACCATGAATGTAGATCATTTTAACCGGACAACATGGGCTTTTCCATGGGTTTTCCACATCTATATTAGTTTTACCCATGTTTTACCCTAGGGAACCTGCTCAACAAAACTAGTGCAACCACCAAGGCATGTTCTACCAGGACGGCTTGACCGGCTCCGCCTGGGGTGACTGGGCCAACTACGCCGACTCGCCTTTGCGCGCGGAAGCGGATTTCTCCAAGGAACAGATGGGAAGTCTGCGGGAGGGTTTCCATGGCATAATACCCTTGTCAGAATAGAGCCTTATTAAAGGTGTCTGTTGGTTTCTTTCATAGGCAAACTCTCGGATGTATGGTTGGTAATTATCGAAGGAAGTTTAGAAGTCAAACTTCCGACAATATGGAAAGATGGAAAGGAGAGGTGGTAAGAGTCAGAGAAGAGAAGAGAAGAAGAGAGAAGATCAGAGAAGAGAAAGAGTTTGAAGGAAGAAAATGCAGGTGCGCGAGAAGGTAGAAAAGTCTCGAAACACTGTGTTTTTCCAATGATTTGTGGCTCCGGAGGGTCGAAAAGTAGGCTCGCCAAAGCGGCGGGTGCGAGCCACCAGGCCAGATGAGAGATGAACAATTGCACGCCGTTGTGGCTCGAAGCACATTTGGAAGTCAAAATGTACAAAGCACCTCATGTTCGGACATGTTCGGACGACTTTTGGAAGTTGAGATGTCGAAAAAGTGCACGCCGTTGTGGCGCGAAGCGAAGCACACTTGGAAGTCACATTTGGAAGTCAAAATGTACAAAACACAACATTCTTGGACCACTTTTGGAAGTTGAGATGTCGAAAAAGTGCACGCCGTTGTGGCGCGAAGCACATTTCCAAGTCAAAACGTACAAAACGCACCAGGTTCGGAACACTTTTTGAAGTTGAGATGTCGAAAAAGTGCACGCCATTGTGGCGCGAAGCACGTTTCGAAGTCAAAAGTAAAAAAAAATGAAGGGTCGGGAGCACTTTTGGACGTTCGGATGTCGTTTTGCGTGGCAGGCACAAGGGATTCTGCACTTTGCCAAAAGTGAGAAGAGCGTGAGAGTTTTGGAGCACTTTCAACTACAACCACTACACTACTCTACATTACACTACACTACACTCCACTACAACTACAACTATAACTACAACTACAACTACAACTACAACTTCATTACGCTACACTAATTACAATGCACTACACGAATTACATTACACTCAACTACACTACACTACATTACACTACACCATGCTAACTACAACTACAACTACACAACACTTCACTACACTGATTACATTACACTGCACTACATGACACCACACTACACCACACCACACCACACTACACTAACTACAACTACAGCTACAACTACAACTACTCTACTTTACACTACACGACACTAGAGTACACTACATTACACTCCCCTACATTACATTACACTACAGTGATTACACCACCTAATTGTAATAGATTGTAATCATTTTCGGCGGGGCCGATTCATACACTACACTCATTACAAATGCAACTGCAACTACACTACACAAATTACACCACACCACAACTGCAACTCCACGTCACTACACAGCACTACAACTACAACTACAGCTGCACTACACCACACTACATCCAGCAGCTGTGGGTGAGGTGACCGACCAGGTGACCACTGCAACCATTGCAGCCATTCCAAACAACACAACTCCAACCACCTTTCAATCCATGAGTGGATTCGCTCTGCCATCCGTGATTCACAACAACCAGCCTCTCATAGGTTTCCTATTTTTGAAACTTCCGCCACCACCTTGTGCGGTATTACTGGTATATATAGTTTGATGATGTTGGATGGAATTATAAGCCAGCTATTAATTAGATGGGGCAATTAGAGGCCATTAAACGATCGGTTTCTGTTTGTTTTGTGGTTAAGCACCCTGTTTATACAAACTGCGAAAGAGTTTTAACTGCTGATTGGAAATCATCCAAGAAAGCCACATATTGCTGGGTTTGCGACGCTGAAACATATGTTTTGTCAATTTTCAAAACTGGTCGTGCCATGAATTCGCACCATGAGCAGCATCAATTGATGATCCAAAATTACCGCAATTGGGCCAAGATCTGCTGGCGTGACCTCCAGCCTTGGTATTTGGGTAGGCTACCTGATACGCTGAATGGGAGTCCAACAGCGTGACGCAATCGATGCGTACTACGGAATCATCTTGTGGAGATTGAAGCAGTAGACCATTCCGAACATGCTTCGTTTGGCATTCTATACGACTACACAAAGTGCTTCGACTATGATCTCGAAAGGAACTTGCCATGGCCTGTTCCAAGACTCCTGCATGGGTATGGATGGTATGGTACCAACAGCCTACTACCAAGTTCAGGGATTTCCTACTGGAATTTCTTCCACCACCGTGGCAACAAGTCTGAAAGAGTGGGGATGGGACGTTATTCCTGTCAAACAGTGGTCCTTTTAGGACTTCATGGTCGCAGTTGTGTCTGAAAAGACCATAGCAGAAAAGCGAGCATCAGCAGATCATGGTTAAACAAATCCAAAGATCCATGGGCCAAGTTCACCAAGTTCAAGGAACCTGACGTTGCTATGACAGCTACACCAGTTGTCCAACCGAGACCTGCAGCGAAAGTTCAGCCAGTTGTTGCTGCATTGGCGACATGATTATACCCATTCATCACATTTCTGACCATGGCATATAATATCATATAATCGAAGGAAGTCGTCAAACTTCTGACAATATGAATATGGACAGATGGAAAGGGAGAGGTGGGAAGAGTCAGAGAAGAGAAGAGAAGAAGAGAGAAGGTCAGAGAAGAGAAAGAGTCAGAAGGAAGAAGATGCAGGTGCGCGAAAAGGTAGAAAAGTCTCGAAACACTGTGTTTTTCCAATGATTTGTGGCCCCGGAGGGTCGAAAAGTAGGCTCGCTAAAGCGGCGGGTGCGGAGTCATCTGTTCAGATGAGAAATGAAAAATTGCACGCCGTTGTGGCGCGAAGCACATTTGGAAGTCAAAACGTACAAAGCACCTCATGTTCTGACATGTTCGGACGACTTTTGGAAGTTGAGATGTCGAAATCAAAGTCTATAAAGTGTTAAAAACTGACAGTCTCGGACGACTTTTGGAAGTTGAGATGTCGACAAAGTGCACGCCGTTGTCGCGCGAAACAAATTTCCAAGTCAAAGTGTGCAAAACACAGCAGGTTCGGAGCATTTTTGGAAGTTGAGATGTCAAAAAAGTGCACGCTGTTGTGGCGCGAAGCACATTTCGAAGTCAAAAGTGGAAAAAACTGAGGGGTTGCGAGCACTTTTGGATGTTCGGATGTCTTGTGCGTGGCAGGCATCAAGGATTCTGCACCTTGCCAAAAGTGAGCAAAACGTGATGGTTTTGTAGCAGTTTCAACTACAACCACCACTCCACTCCACTACACATTTACACTACACTCCACTACACTATACTACGCTACAACAACAACAACTACTACTACTACAACTACTACTACTACTACGACGACTACTACTACTACTACTACTACTGATACTACTACTACTACCACCACCACGACGACGACCACTACCACTACCACTACCAGTACCACTACCACTACCAGTACCACTACCAGTACCACTACCAGTACCAGTACCACTACCACTACACTACACTACACTAATTACATTACACTACATTAAATTACACTACACTCCACTACACTATATACTCCACTTCCCTACGCTACACTACACTCAATTACACTACGCTACACAACAACTACAAATGGAACTACCACTACAACTACACTACACTACACGACACTACACTCATTACATTACACTACACTAATTACATTACATTACACTATGCTACAATACAACTACACCCACAACTACAACTACAACTGCACTAAATTACACCACACTACACTACACTAATTACATTGCACTACAGTGCACTACACTACACTCCATCATGCTACACTCCACTCCAACACACCACACTACACTACATTCAATTACACTGCGCTGCACTGCACTGTACTGCACTGTACTGCACTGCACTACACTACACTACAACTACAACTACAGCTACAACTACAACTACAGTAAAAAACACTGCACTACACTACACTACCCAATATTACACTACTCTACGCTAATTACATTACACTACGCTACACTACACCACACTACACCACACCACACTACACCACACCACACTATACTACACCAATTACACTACGCCACATTACACTGCTCTACGCTACACCGTGCTACACTACACCACACCACACTACACTA